AGCTAATGCTTCGTTAAGTGATAATTCAATCTTTAAGAAGTAATTTTAGAAGTCTCGAATTAAATCGGATATGTCAATTAAACGAAAAAGGTTTTATTTTTATTTCTAATCAAAGTTTCCAATTAAAAATATTTTTTTAACTTTAATTTAAGACTAAACAGGTCAAGGTAAAATCGTATTAATAAATAATATTAATTAAAAGTGAATAGTGTTAAAAAATTATATATTCAGGTGTTTCTTTAAAATTTCTAAAACTTGTGTTCGCCGCTATTATCTTATTTAAATTACAGTCAGCGTCATATAGATCGTCACAGACAAGATATGCAAATATATAGGTACATCAACAGTAATCAATTATATCGGTACAACAAAAGTCCTCAAAATAATAGATACATTCACCCTGCTCAAAAACATCGGTACATACACATCGTCAAATATATGAGTTCATGCAAGGTGCCCATAAATATCGTAGCAGCCACAGCGTCATAAGTAACGAAGCAGTCAAGGTGCGCAAAAATATCGGTACATTTGACAAAATTGAACTCTATCTCTATATACTTGTGATACAATTTGGAATAAACTACTTCTGTTACATTCATTTGACACTTTGCATCAAACCATTTTTCAAAATTTACTAAAAGTGTTCGACGCGGGTGACAGATTAATGTAGATAAAACCAACATCAAATTTAAGTTTGTCATCATATATGCTAGTTTGGTCTCGTGGCCTTACCGTTCGCCGCCGTTGGTACGTAAGGTCGGCGGTTCAAATCCCAAGCCACTATTTTTTTTTTGATATTTAAACTTTTTAATTTTAATATCGAAGCACATGTAATTAAACTCTATCGCCGTAGTTATTAGGTACTTTTTGATATTCTTCTTCTTCTAGTGCCTCTTCAGTCTTGAAGGTTGGCCGCTAACTTCGAATATTTGGTTCTGTCAAGCGCAAGGCGAAACAGTTCCTCTGCTGACCTAATCCCCGTCCACTCCCTAATATTACG